AAAAAGTGAGAAATGGAGGAACCAAATCCTAATGTTTTCCTAGGAAAACGTAGCCACATATGAATGAAGCAATCTTCACTTGGGCTTCAATAGCCTTGAACATGTCTCAGTGATTAGTTTTATAGTTGTAGGGCACTTTATATTTGCAGAGCACTCTTACCTATGTCACTACACTGAAATCCCACAATATCATCATTTCACAGATCAAGACACTGAGCAGTGTGCGTTTTACTACTCGCTCAGTGTTAAAGCAGGAAGTGGCAGAACTGGGACTTGTGGCGAGTCTAGGACCTTTCACTCCATCAGCGTCTCTGCTCCTCCTCCCACCGCCTTACCGATTGCTGATGTTAATCCCCTTCTCCCTCATGGCGTAGAGAAGCACAGCGATGCAGTATAAGGTCTCCGTGATGTCTGGCATGGTCACGGTGGAGCTAGGTCTCCTGAGGCAGAAGAGCAGCTGCTGGATGTCATTCACACTGCTGGAGAGCAGGACAATGGCTGCCACCAAGGCCCACACGTTGACACCCTGGAGAAAGTTGGACCAGGGAAGGGAGAAAAGACCCCAAAACACAGTGTACAATGAATAAAAACCACATCAGACAACCAGTGAAGAAACCCAAGATTGGGGTTCAAGTTCCATCTACAGATTGGGAACTTTTTCTTTTGTCCTAGAGTCCTTTTTTCTAGTCACTTCTGGACTTGAGTTCTTAATTTTCTTTAATTGAATAACATTTATAAAGTATGTAACATAGAACTTTGCATAGGCATGATACTCTCACATCCCCACCCCTCCTCTTCAGGTCAGTGTGAGCTCTCAGGTCTAGACATAACATACTCAGTAGAGTCACAACAGGGTCATTATTAAATGGGTGCCTACTGAGGCACAAAAGACATGAGGTTCGAAAGAAGACAGTAGTCTTTGGTGGGGGAGAATCAATACTGACAATTCCCTGGCATTAAGATGTTAATTTACTATTTACTTTGATATTATTACTTAATAGTTATTAAATATTAA